GCCAGAGTTGGCTGTGAGGCTAACTGGGGAGATTTTTACTTTGGTGGAGGTCTAAACTCTATCCTGTTATTCATAAGCATCCTCGCTGGGAAAAACATATTCAATTCAGGATTTGTATTCGATATACTTTTGTTGGCCAAGAATTACTCCATTAATATTCATATTATTTTACTTGGCCGCACACCTCTGGTCTGCTATCTTTATTTGATACGTTTATGAGAAATACAGTATTTATGGTGTTGTGCAATAATTCTGACTGGAATTTTGATATCATGGAGTTCATGTGAACAAACCCTTTATCACAAAAGTCACATTGTAGTCAGTAGAGTTTGACATAAGCTCTGTTTCAGTTATTGTTATCGCAGGAAAAACACAGACAGGCAGTCTGTTTAGTACTGTATGCCATTGACTGTTAACAGCACGCCTGCAACAAAACCTCACATCTGAACACCTTTCTGACGTCACAGACATGCTTTGACGCACTGGGTGATGCCAAATTCTGCAAGAAACATAAGCTGGTTTACATTCTTGGGGCTGCAGTTATCTCTGTGCAATGAGATTTGGACTTGGATTCATGTGAGAAGCACCTCACGTAATACAGAAGAGCAGCAAGTCACACACACGTACTCATGCACAGGTGGACATGCACACATGCAGCTTAGCTTGGAGATGACGACCGCATGCTGTTTCACATTTCCTGACATATCCTCAAAGCTCTTCTCAATATACCGTCATCTTCTGGGTACAAAGCTCTTCCTCACTTCACCTCAAAGCACTCCCCACACCCCATCACCCTTCTTTTTGTCTTTCATTTAACCTCAGTTTTCATCTTGTTTGTTTGTTTGGATGAAAATCCTCTCTTTCATCCTCCTCTGCCTGTTGTACGCCTCCCATCCCTCTTCCTGACTCAAACCAGTTAGTAATTAAAACGCTCACAGTTAATTGGGCAGATTATTGCACAACATGCCACACCTGAGTAGGGGGAGGTGGAAAAACTCACAATCGTGTGCACACACAAGGCTGTGGTCACAATGAGAGTGCAGATCCTCATTATGAATCATTTATGGCCTTTTACAGCAGTGGACAACAATCCAAGGCATTTACAAGCAACTACAAATCTACACAGCTATTCACACACATACAGCCTTTTTTATCGCTGTCATATAGCCTGGAGCTACAGGAGCATCCAGGTGTTTCCAGGCTGATGCAGCTGTTGACAGGAAAAGGATCTCTCCATCAGCGGGCGGTGGCATCTGAGTAGCGGCAGCAACCAACCCCAGGGATCAGAGGTTGCATGTTTGATGTCACCTCCAGAGCAGAGGTCACAACTGTGCTGACGCCTCACACTAACATCTCAATATGCACAAGTCATAAAAAAATGAAACTCCAGGAGCTAGTAGGTCTTAGTTGCTACTGTATGTGAATGCAAGCAGAATGCACACATGCCTTTGTAATATCATGTATAATCTTAAATACACAACATTCTCTTACACACAGAAAGTAAACCTGAACATATATCTATACAGTACAGTGTGAGACATACTAACTCTGACTGGTAAGCCAGACACCCAGAAGGAATGAGCTCAACACTGATGGTTGTTGGGGATTTAAGCTGTTGAATGATTAGGACCAGTTCTTTGGCTGCTTCATTCCCTTCTGCTGTAAGTGCAGCATTTAGCACAAATAAGTCAATGATTCTAGTACATCAACCTTTGCACTTGGCCCAATATTTCATCATCAGTTGGAGGAGTATATTAGTCTTTTTTTCACCCTTCTCTCTGTTTTCAGACAGGCAGCAAATGTCCACGTGAGACTTCTAATAAATCGTCTCAGTCGCAGTAAAAATAAAACAAAGTGTGAAATGACGCCACACACTCACACAGACATGCTATATACGTAAATGCACATATAGTAACAAAATACCTAAAATGAGCCCTTGTTGAGCAATGTTTATTTTCCTTTTCCCCCCTGTGTGTGATTTTTATGGGTGTTAAGACTGCTATGGAGAAGAAAGCAGAACTGAACAGAGCAGATGGGCTGTTTGTTGTTATATAGCAATGTACGACGCAACAAAAAAGTTCATATGCATATTTATCTGACAATTCCCAGAGCTGCCTCCGTGATTTTTTTCTACAATTCTATAGCCAACTTATTCTGTTTGTTAGAAATCTAATTAGCAATCTCACTGTACTTCTGAATTATATAGAATCCCATGGTTAAACAAAGTGTGAAGGAATAAGAGCCAGAATTTCAATAACACCCTTTTATAATTACACTATAGAGTGCACGAAGATGCACTTTTACCACTACGAGCACCCTCGAAAGAAAAGGTATAGAAATTAAATGGCTCCATTAAAACCAATCTCTAAACCCTAATGAATGTTATATTGATCTGTTAAAATCAAGAAATAACAGAAAAGTGAGGACAGCGACAGCTATCAGCACACAAAGAACGACTTTTAAGACATTTGTTTTCCAAACACAAAAAGAATTAAAGTTGCAAGCATTGTTGGGCAGGCCCTCGCACGTGTAGCGCGTCGGGGCGTGAGGCGGCCGCGTTGCATATTCTGGAGCTCTCCGGTGCGGCTGTGAATTTGCTACACACTGCATGAAGGTGTTAAACCTCACTTCCTGTGTCCCCTTTGTGGCGCTACATAGCACTTGTCGCTATGAATATAAATTAATATTGGCATGTAGATATCTTCGGGGCGGGACAGTTATCAAGTACGTAAAGTTTTGTTCAGATGTGAGCATGTACACTGAAGTTACAACAACTTCCTGTGTCATGGCGAAGACTTGATCTTTGACGCCACGCCACGGACACACCCATTGACGAAAACTCACAGATAGCACAACTTTTCATCGTCAATGCCTTTAGAAGGCACAGCAGAAATTTGAAGTCGGTCGGACTAAATCCCTAGGAGGAGTTCGTTAAAGTACGGAGTGTGTAAATAATCCAAAACTTGCTGTTAAATCCAAAATGGCCGACTTCCTGTTGGGTTTAGGGCATCGCTCCAAGAGGCTTTTTTGCGCGTCTGGACATGATACAAGTACCACAGAAATTTCATACATGTAGGTCAAACGTGTGGCGGGGGCTGCTTCGTTAAAGGTCACTTCCTGTTGCCAGCAGGTGGCGCTATGACTGTGGGTAAATGTCAGCATGTACATGTGTTCAGGGCGGGACTCTCATCCTAAATGTACAGTTTGGTGCAGATGTGAGCATGTACACTGAAGTTGTAATAACTTCCGGTTTCATGGCGAATAATCGATGCCACGGACACGCCCATTGACGAAAACTCACAGATAGCACAACTTTTCATCGTCAATGCCTTTAGAAGGCACAGCAGAAATTTTAAGTCAATCGGACTAAATCCCTAGGAGGAGTTCATTAAAGTACAGTGTGTGTAAATTGCCAAAAATGAAAATTTAAATGAAAAATTAAATCCAAGATGGCCGACTTCCTGTTTGGTTTAGGCAATGGCTCCAAGAGGCTTTTTTGTGCGTCTGGACTTGATACATGTACCACAGAAATTTTGTACACGTATGTGAAACTTTGTCCAGGCACTGCTCTGTACGGGGCGCTAGTGAGCCATTTTGCCACGCCCATGCGCAAACCCCAGAAAATATGTAATTTTTCGCCGCGTCTGAATTATGAGCAAAGTTTGGTGAGTTTTCGAGTATGTTTAAGCCCCCAAACTTGAGCTTACTTTGCACAAAAAAAAGAAAAAGAAAAAAACAATCCCTACAGTTTCACTAGGGACCTCGCACGATTCGTGCTCGGGCCCTAAAAAGGTTTAAGAAAAAACTGTTACTGTTCCATTAGCTATAGACTTATGATAGGCTATGAAACACTAAATATCATGCAAATTTAATTCTGGATTTAGTAAACACATCTATTCACCACCCACCACCCACATTCAGGTTTATTGAAAAAAGAATCAACATGTCATCAATGGACAACATAAGGGCAGATAGCAAAAGTAAAAAAACGGGGGAGAAATGGTTGCCCAAGTCATGAGACTGAGGTTTTCCCATCAAGATTGGACAGATAAAGTGTTTGAGGCCAGTGCAAATTACAAGACAGACCGCACTTTAAACCCTTGTTTTCCTTTCCCACTAAGGATAAATCTCTCTTACCCTTCTGAATCACTCTGTTTCTCCTGCACCCAATCTGCACTGTCTTTATTATAGTGGAAGGGACTGGAATATAAACCGTAAATTTATGGTAGATGAAGAGTTTTGGTTGTCCATGGAAAGTTTGTACCCCCTGAAGATTTAGCACCCAAGTAACTGCTCAGGACTCGATTGGCCTTCCCTCAGACAACCTGAGGTGACATATGGACCCTTACACACACACACACACACACACACACAAGCGCTCACACATATGCAGCATAATTTGACCTGCTATGTATCAACCATGACACAAGGACACTAACAGGCCTCTGATGCTTGCTAAAAGCTGGCAAAACACCTGAGACACACAGACACACACACACACACACACACACACACACACACACACACACACACACACACAATCTAACTTAACAAACATAGAGTTAAGATTTTTCTCACAACCGTGTGTTGATGTCTTTAGAAAACAGCCTGAAAGCAATGTTCACACACACAAACACACACATACACACATTCACTGATAATGCCAGCTCTGTTGACAAACTCTCAGCTCACATGGTAGTACTGAAGCCAAACTCCCATGGCATCTGTGATATCTATAGAGCTGCAGTCCCTGAAGGACAGTCCTCTTTAGCTCGTATTCTCGCAGTTGAATCAAGCTGTTTTCAGTCCTCTTACAAAGCAAGTGGACTGAAAAAGACTTACTGTTCTATGTTCTAGCTTTACAACTCGTATTTATGGACTAATTGCAGCATAATTACTCTAATGAAAACAGGCAACACAGGTCTCAACATCTTGCACAAATCTCCCTGCCTGTCTATGTTGCGCTATTTCTATATCTACATCTTCAGTAGGTGTCTGACCTTTGAGAATGACCTCCAGTTCGTCTCGTAAGATGTCAAAGGTACTGTATCTAGAGCTGGTCTCAGGAATGATGTTCTTTTTCAGCCAGCCTCCACAGGCATACTGGTAGAAGTTGTCACAAGGGTCCACGCTAGCATCCATGTTCTCAATGAGACGAGACGCTGCATGGACAGGAAAGAAACAAGTTCTGAGAATATACTGCAGGAGCCGTAGCAGTACATTATTATCTATGTAAATTGTCCTCTAACTACTTCTATGGACAATGATACATCCTGTTTAACAAGTGTATGAAGGAGGTCAGAGATACTCAATATATTAGCATGCAATAGTTTGACATTTTAGATAATATGCTTATTCAGTTTCTTCTCAAGAGTTCAGGCTCAGTCTGATGGTAACAAAACCCACCTGCCAGTACCTCTAATCCTCTTTTAGTCTGCTCATTTTATTACACAATTTATAAATATAGTTTGTTTGCTCTATACAGAAAGTGCGTAAAACTGACACTTGCTATTATGGGAGGCTATGTGCTGAACTATTTCTTGGCCAGGACAGGACAGGGGCAGTCTTGTCATCACTTTCAGGCAACCAGCGGTTAAAGGTGTGGAATTTTCCTTCAGACAGAGCCAGGCTAGCTGTATCCACCTGTTCTATCTTTGTGCTAAGCTGAGATAACCGGCTGCTGGCTGAAGCCTTATTGTGAATGGAAAGTGGAATTGATCTTCTAGCACAGTTGAGATTATGGATCACCTTAAGCCTTGGTCACCAAATGCTCACCAAAATTTTGCATGCTCTTCTAGTAGCAGGGGAAAAATCATATTGTACCCCAAAAACACATTTAAATGTAATTAACTGTTGATTAAAATAGTATGCACAGACCTGTGAAAAAAGTAGAAATGTATAATGGCAGTAATTGGTTTCAGTTCAGCACCAGTACTGGAAATGTGTAAACTTTTTTGAGCTGCATTTTAATTACACAAGGCTGCTGAGACATCTCTTGAGACAAGGCTGTCTGTCAAATCTGACTGATCTGGGACTTTGGTTCCCCAAAAATGCATCGAAAATGAATTGGCATCTGTTGCTGGAAACTTGAAGTAGAGCTATAAATTTTTAATTTACTATGGCCATGTTGTTCATGAAAAATAAGCTGTTCTACTATAAAAAATGTTTGATTTTTTTTGAGAAAATAAAGTAAGAGGCAGGGGGAAATTGGGGGGGGGGGGGGGGTCTATTTGCTTAAAAAGTTAATAAAAGAAATGTTAGGACAAACAATGGCTTATATCAGTTATGTGTCCACTGGCGGGAATGCTAGAATTATAGTAAGAGACAGAGAAAGGTATCAGCTCACTACTACAGTCATGTGGTCAAGGAACATGTACAGTTAAGTTACAAAACTTGGTTATGTTGAAATATTTCAGCTTTGTACACAGAATGGATTTACTTAAGCTGCATATACATTCTTATACCCATTACCAGTTCCTCAGCTGCTCTTGTACAGTTGTTCTGAGATGAACTGAGGACAATTTGCAACATGTTTCTACTGATCAGGACTGTTTCTGTTTGTTTGATCACAGTTTTCTCTAAGTTTCTCTTAGAGTATGTATAAAATCCCCGGGCTTCTGCCGCAGTCTCAATTTTCCCATTCTGTCCTCCTTTGAGAAAAATCAAAGCCTTTAGAATGAGACAATAAAGAGAGCAAACAAAGAAACAAACACAAACACAATGCTTACCTGACTGTGTGCAGTCAGCTGTAGTGCAGATTTCATCTATAGAAAAATGCAAAACAAAACATCACTCAGTGGGATTTTTGCAGTCATCAGTCATTATGTCAAATGCTCAATCTCTCCTTCCTCTTTCCCTTTTACTTTATTTCTTTTTATTTCTCTCATCCTTCACACACATATACCCGTAAACTGCTTAGAAGTGTTGCTTTCATTCTGTCGGGAATAATTTAGGTGCCAAACTATAAATCAAACTCATTCTGACATTTACTAACACAAGCACACACACACACACACACGCACACACCCACACACACACACACACACACACACACACACACACACACACACAGGAACTGTCATTTGACCTTAAATACACATATGCTTTATCCATTATGTGTGAATGCACATGATGTGCACACAGGTGAGTGCGAACATAGACATAGTCATTAAACTTTCTCATTTCCCTGACATGGCAGCTTACATATTTATCAAGCACAAGACTCCAACAGATAATAATAGCTCAACACACACACATACACACGTTGTTTTAGATTGTATTAAATTGGCTTTTTTGTCGGTTTTTGTATTCTTGACCTGCTGTACCTCACAGTGGCTCCATTTGTCAGTTATTAAATAAGCTGTTTATTATCCATGTTAATATCATAGTAGTAGCTTTCCTTGTACCACATCACAGTGATCCATCGTCCTTGGACTTAGTACTAATTAATAAAACTTTCCATCATGTTGTGTAACAAGCAAGTTTAATACACTTGTACAAAAAAGTACAAACAGAAAGCAAAGTAACAGTCAGGATATTAATGATTATAAAACCCATGTGATACTCATATTGTGACATTGATCTGAAGCAGGTTTGACTGGTTTCCCATGGCAAGGAGAGGTGGGTGTGTCCATATTAAATTATAATTTTCTCATAACGTGAACTGAAGACATTTATAGCAAGATATAATATGCACAGTTATTCACAATTTGCACAAACGTCTGATATGTGAAATAGCACAATGTTAGAGGTTTACAGTGTTTATAACAAAACTCTGAGACCTCTGCACACTGCATTCTTCTTTCTGGATCAGTGGTTGTACTTTTGCACTTTAAAAGCACACATCTCTAGTGTCGTCACCGGACCATCAAGCTTACCATTAACAATGTACTCAGCTGGAAATCATGTCAGTGCATGCAAACAGCTTAAAAGAGGTGATCTTCAAAAGTTCTTAAAAGTTCACTCAATACTCTGGTGACAAGAAAAACTAAAAATAGTTTTTAATTACACAACACATTTTTGTTGATCACTTCACGGTTTTTGTCAGTCTGATAAAATTTTAAAATAATGTTTTTCTATCCCGAGTCCCCTGTTGGTTAATCACTCACCAGTCTTCTGTGTGGCAAAGAGGATGATGAGGGTGACGATGATGATGAAGAGCAAGGAGACGATGGTAATGAGGCCGATCTCCAGCGAGGTCCAACGGGGCTTCTTAGCCGACTTTGGGGGGTTGGTCTCTGTCATTCTCAGGTCTCCTCCTTCAGCTGCCAGCTGTATCAACTCACCTGAGGTGTAGAGCTGAAACGATGAGTCAACTGACAGGAAATTAATCTGCAATAATTTTGATCATCATCAAATAACTTTCATTTATCAAGACAGCATACCAAACATTTGCTGGGTGCAGCTTCTTAAATATGAACATGTGCTGCTTTAATCTGGTTTACATCACTGTGTAAATTTAATAATTTTGGGGTTGGAACTGTTGGTCAGAAAAAACAAGCAATTTAATGATCTCATCTTGGCTCTGGAAATTACAGTGGACATTCTTTTCTATTTTCTGACATTACACTATTCAGTAGATGTACTGAAAATCAAATTCTGATAATCATATAATCTTTTAAGTCATTAAGAAAAAATGACAAACGTGCTAATTTCAGTTTCTCCAGTTTCCAGTTCTTTGGCACTTTGGCAACATACTATTGTTGAAATATATTAATGCTGACATTAACAAAGCAAAAATTCCCATTTTTTTAGACATAAGCTGAAGAAAGTAAATACAAAGTGAAAGAGAGATAAAAGACACATGGCAGTGATAAGAAGACAAAAGACAAAAAGTCTTGGAGCAAAAGGTGAGAACAATGGAAGTTCTTACCCTCTAGTGGCAGTACACTCCAGACAAAAACAACAAAAAACACACACTTCTGAAGAATGGAAAACAAGAGAGACCTTTCCTCTGCTCCTCACTTTACAGTGTTGTTTTCCTCTCTGGGGCCAAGTGAAAACTTTACAAAGTTCAAGTAACAAGCAGTTAAGTCTATCACTGAAGGTAATTAATCCTTAATCCTTTACCGACAGTGCAAACATGCACACATTAATGCAATCACTACACACAAGCACATACACACACACACACGTCCACAGCCATGCTCTCACGCACCCTTTTACAAGCTGGTGTCATGAGGCGCCTGTGCAGATGGGTGGGTCTCTCTGCATGTTGGCTGAGATGAGAGCGCCACTCGACCAAAGGACAAAGTCTCTTAGCTTCCTTTGAACGTGTAGGCAGCCCTAGACACGCACACACATCACCTACTGTACACACACATCCACAGACCTGCTGAATGTCAAACCCCCTATCATTCTTCCTCATGACTAAACAATAGCCCACTGTAAAGTAAACTCCCCTTGTTATAGTCATTATCCAGGCTGGTAATTGGCACTTACTGAATACAGCAACTGCAGCTCCTAAGAGGCTGCTCTCCCATCTCCACACCAGTACTACAGCATGAATGACTTCACCATGGGTCACAAAATTTACTATAGGAGAGTGGCCATACATGTAACGGATACCTTTTGTTTGTGTTTTAAGGATGTAATTTTAAAGACAAATGAAAACACGGGAGAAAAATGATGAGTGATGAGTAGGATGACACGTGTTAATCAGAACTTCTTGTCAGCCTCTCTCTGGCTGCAGAAGGGGGTGAAACTTTCAACTTTTGTTTTTGTTCTGCGACCAAACATATCCCTGTAGCAGCAGTGCCTGAGCTCTAATAAAGCCATGTGTGTATGTCAGCGTTGGAGAGACATTATATTAATTCACTCTAATCCTGACACGGTGCATGCCAAGACATGAAACTCCTGCAAAATTTATTAGAGTCTTTCCCGTTTGCTAAGACACTTGAAGTGAATGCTTAGGGCAAAGCATGGAAACCTTATACCTTTAGCAACAATGCCTTACATACAGAGGCACCAAAAGTACAAACACATTTTCAGCTTTGCACTTTGTAATCGATCCTGCAACACACATGGTGCAAAACACTACACACAGTTTCTCACATTACACGCTTTGTTCAAGAATTAAAACTCTTGCAGTTATTGGAAAAACACTTCCATTCAAAATACAAAACACACTTGAAATTGGCAACACCCACACACACACATTAAAACATTTAAAAACTAATTGAACACCAATTAGTCACAGCTGTAGCACTACAAACAGACCTCAGGTAAGCACCCCCTTACTACACATTTCTCAATCCGATTGAGGAATTTCTTTTGGCTTGGCATTGGACAGTGTATGACCGCCAACCACATGCCTGCATGCCTCTTCTGCAAGCAATGGAGGAGGCATGCGGCATATTATTTTTCCCGTTGCCAGCCAGGGAGGACATCGCTTGTAATGTAGAGGAGGTGATGTGGTCAGACCCTACTATAAGGCGTGATCCACCCCATCCCTTACACAACTATTTTTGTTTACCAGTACACTATGATTTAAATGCATTTACTGTGTTGCTGTGAGTTTACAAAAAACATATTGTATTGCTTACTTTACTGTAATTCTCCTTCTGTTTGTTTTTGTTCTTGTAAAAACCTGTAAAGGTAAATAATAATTGTTAAATCCTGAAGCCTTTGTGTGTTTACTGTAAATGTGAGTAGATTTACTGTACTTTAACAATCAACAGAGGCCTGTATGAGAAAATAAAAAAGGCCTAGAAAGTACTAAAGCATGCAGTGTTTTCATCAGTGTGTTGTTGCTGATTTGTATGTGTAGTGTACATGATGCATGTGTGTTTCTTATTGATCCAAAAATGCCCTTTTGAAAAAGAAGTGTTTTTATTGAAGAAGTTGATTTTGAAATAGAAGTTAGATGTATATCTCTAAGTGTTGTGTCTTGTTTGGCTGTTGTGTAGAGTTTTGACACAATGACACAGATACTGCATTTTGTGTACTGTAAAAAGGAACATGGATCTAAAGTTGGAGGGAAAGAATGTGCAAAAAAGAGCAAGGGTGAGTGTGTGTGTGTGTGTGTGTGTGTGTGTGTATGTGTGTGTTTAAAGTCAGGTAATATTTATTCATTAATCGACATTGCTTCTCTGCCAACAAAGGAACCTGTTTTTTAGGTACTTGATGTTTGCTCTGTTAGGCAGGAAGGCCTAATATTTGTGTAAATATTTGTCAGGTGAGTTGTCATTTCTAGTACTGTTGTTATTGCTGCTGTTGCAGGATGCAATCACTGTTTTTATAATGTGGCTTTTATGTTTTTTCTGAGTGTGTTTTGGAAGGTATGTGCTGCTGTGTCTGTATTCTTACAAGTAGCAAAAGTCAAAACTCTCTCTTTCTCTTTTTCTGTCGGTCATGATAAATCTAAAACATAAATGGTCTCCATGTCTTGTGAGACCTCACAAACATTTTCAATATTAAAACCATCAGTCACTGAGACACCTATGTGTCTGCACACACACAAGTCAACAGGAGACTACTTGCACAAAGTCACTTTTTAACAACCAGCCATAAGCCATGAACATGTCATGCACCTAATTGAGTTTGAATAAGTGCAGAAATTTGGCCTACTTTAACTTAAAATAACACCTTCTCTGGGATATGATTTTCAGCACTGGGCCTATGGTTGCACACCCAAGACTGAAATCATTTTAAAGATCATTGTTGAGGGAGGAGACTTGATGCCCAAAGGTGCTGTGATCTAGCTGAAATAAAGTCCACCTCTTAAATTGCTTTCCTAATGGTTTTTCTGATAGCACTATGGATGGAATGGGAAAAATAACTTTTAAAGAGATACAGCAACCAGTACCCACAATAATACAGTGAGTGAACCAAAACCAAAAAGTAAGCTTAGGATACCTTGTTGGAATAATATGACAGTAGAAGTGTTTTTGATAGGGCCAAATGCAACTAGGTGTTGAAAGTCCTATGATAACAATATCCAGCTATAGCACACAGTGATTCGCAACTAAGCAAGACCCAGTTAAATGCGTGCCAGCTCCCCATCTCCTGTTGCACATCGGAAATTCCAAGGTGGGTGGCATGATCAACTGGTGCACGCTGCCCCGTGTCACCCAGCCGGCAGGCGTGCGCACACGCAAAAATACACTGACAATGCACTGACTCGGGCACACACAAACACACGCGGACGCACACAAATGGCACCGCGTTATAAGGAGCGCTCCGAGTGCGTGAGCGACTTACCAGGTGTGTCGGGAAATTTTCGGTCGATGATATATATGGGCATCACATCCACTGATCAAACGTCCATCAAATCCACGAGCGCGAAGTGCTGATCGATCTCTTACAGACTATCTGTTTGCTTCACCCTGGATTTCAAGAAGGCACAGCCCGATCCCGCCTCTCTTCTTCTCCTTCTTCTTCTTGTTCCTTTGGCTTTCTATTCTAGGAGTGCACATACACACACACGCACACACTCAAGCAAAGACCCTTAACTACAACTACCTACTATAGGCTATTGTACCACATCTACCCACTGAATCGCTGAATTCAAATGAGCCATCAGACTCTTGCGCGGCGCAACTGGTCAAGTGTGTGATCTACAGAGGGGATCCCATATTTAAACAGCCTATGACATATAGTGAGGCAATGAAGCAGCCTCTTTAGTTCTCCGTCCATCAAGTCGTTGCCTCCCCTGTAAGGGCGGCGTTTAGAAGTGACCCTGTCATCCACACTTGCTGTCAGTGGCGCCTAAATAGCTCCGGGACGCAGGTTCAGGTACAGAACAGTGTGATGAAGTGATGTGTAGTATATTTTAGTGTGCTTACTCATAGGGCTGTCAATAGCTTTTAATCCAAAGCACTTTGTGCTTAGAATGTGCATACAGCAAAATCCCTGTGATAGGGACACACTGTAGCAGGGCCGCTGCTGGCCATATGGGTGCCCTAACCACAATTGCTTTTTTATTATTATGATTGATGATCATTAGGCTGTTTGGTGCATCCTCTGGCAAGATGGCTACAATTTCTGGGGTGGAATCCCCTGGTCCCCGGAACCATTCATATTACATTAAAATAAAAGTTAACCAGAGATGGAAGAATTTATTTGACTGGCAGTGCTATATCAGGGCTCTACAGTGCAACCATTTTGCTCGCATATGTATAAATTATCATACATACATACAATAAAATTAACTAGCTAAGCATGCAACACAGCATTATCCCAATGTAACCATGGTTGGGAAGGTTACACAAGGTTATACAAAATTATACAATAAAAATAAAAAATATAAAATACAAGTATTATTCTTTTGCCAATGTGAGTGGAATTTCGCAATATGCTTGCTTCTGTTGCTGTGTAGTTACATCTGGCATTTTGCTCATGTCCTCTTTATGGTGAAACACCAAAGTTCATCAGAGGGTCATTTCTGTAGGAACAATTCACTCCGCAAACATGTGGATGTTGGGTCTGAATGCAAAAGTTAGCAGTAAAGTCAGTAGAAAGCTAACTGACTACATCACTGCAGAGAATAAATGACCTAATTCCAGTAGATTCAAGGGAGTTTGGCAGACAAGAAGTTATTGTCCTTGTTTTCAGTGGCTGATCGTATTCATGCACTAAGCTGATGTTCATTCATATATTTAGGTACAAAACATTTTGTTACATATAGTTATGTTTTACTGTAAGTGGGGTGTGGTACACATGTGGTAAAAGATACATTGTTTGATGACACCTACATAGGCTGTTATTGGGAGACTGCAAACCATGTCATGTGACCCTTAGACTCCATCTCTGCATATGCTCTCATTACAGCTTTATTGTCAATTATCTACTCTAAACTTAAAAGATAAATGCTTATGCAAGCCTCTTACTGTCACCCCATCATATCATCCATGTTTCGTTGCTTCTGATAATGAACAGCATGATTCCCCTCCAAGAAATTTCCATCTGTGTGTTTATCTTTTGAATATCTGTGAAGTTGAACTGACAGCAGTTTTCACAGTGGCTGCCTGTCACTGTATCTAAAGGATGTTCACATTTGCCGCTAGTGCAACATCTGTGATCATATTTTCCATCATTTTGTTGCTGGGCCCTTCAAATAAAACCCCTCACCCCTTGGTTGTTGGCCATTTTAACTCTGTTCACTGTCAGTAAACCTGGCATGTTATGGACTCCTGGAGAGTATTGGATTTTAATTTTTCTGTGCCTGGGGTGACAAAGGTATTAAACAATCCTTTTTTGCAAAAGTAGGGTCATTTTTGCAAACATAGACACATATACAGACTTGAATGCACTCGAATGCAATATTTCTCAGTGAAACCAACCAGTGCCAAACATCGTTACACAGATACACCGGCCAGTTCTCTTTCCCAGGTTGTCAAATTCTGATGTTTTGCCACACCCCTCTGTGTCTAATACAGACACACTGTTTAGCGTCTGTATTAGATGCAACAGGCTTTCTACTAACTCCAATTTAACACATCCTCGTCAGGTGACAAAGTGCACATAAGAAGGATGATAGGGTGCATGGATGGGTCAAAAAAACACAGGATTTTCACCCATGTGAAACCAAAGTCAATAATGACCAATAATAAGTTTTAAGTTACGTAACGTTATGTAAGTAATATAATGTAAAGGAGAGTTACTCCCCTGACAGTTCCTGAAGGAGGATAGTGATAGAAAAGCCCAGCTGAATGACCTTAAACCTTCAGTTGAATTTATCCTCTGATAAAAAAATAACGTCCTGAAATTGTGACACACTTGCTGTTCTGTGTTATTCACAAGCATATGTGGACCAAATGCAGAACTGCTTATTAGTCATGGTATTTTCTTCCTTGCAATGCCAATCCTCTGGAACACATTGTTCATGTCTTGGAAAATGGTATTCAGCAGTGGATCCATTAATAACTTGTGTCACATACGGAACGTCACCACTTGCATGAACCCAACCTATGATCTTTTCCTAAACCTAACCAAGCAGTTTTGGTGCCTATACCTAACAAAACTGCGACCGTTTCACAAAACTAACCTTGTGTAAAAAAAGCATCTCATATAGACGCACAAGGTACTCTTGAGCTGAGAGGAGTGACAAAGCAACCTTGGTATTTGATGAACTGGGATGAAAACATGTTGCATACACACATGCATCAAGTAGCAACATACACATTGCAACATTTATATTTAAACCATGCCTCTCAGAATTACAAGATGTGGTTTAAATTGTACCTTAGTACACTGTAAAAAATGAAAATTTATCGTAAAAAAATGGTGAAATGGCTGCCAAACAAAAAACGTAAAATTAGTGTAAAATATCCTAATTCAATTAAAGCTTACAGACACTTTTCATTAAAGGATTCACAGAGAAACAGAAATACAGATTTTTCCTGAATTATTCCGATCTAACACCTTCAATAAAAGCACATGCTCAAGATTTTAAAATCAGCTTCATTTCATCATTTCATTTGAAAAATAAAGTAATTGTTAAAATTTTACAGAATTACAGTACAAACCTTAAATAAAGTAACAGTTAATATAAACTAGTGCACCAATTAGCAGTAAAAGAGATTCTTCATATTGTCATAAAATATAAACTTAATAATAAATACAAATACAAATAAAGTACATACCACTATTGATTCTGAAACAATTGTATTTAAAGGTCCAGTGTGTAAGTTTTAGTGACATCTAGTGTTGAGGGGTGCGAATTGCAAAAAAAATGTTGAAATATGTATTGTAATAGGGTGTATATTAACTTATTGGGAGAAAACTGGTAGATCTATGTAAAATCAGATGCTGAGCACCCCCATATCGCATAAATGGCCCGATCCTTGTTTCGCTGCGAAGCTTTGACTGTGAGATTGACAGTCGAATCAGTCTCCGCCCATCGAAGCATCGAATCTTTGACTATTTGTCAGTTTTTTTACATTAATGTTACTTGTTCATTAATAAACAACAGCCACATTAAGAAATGAAGTGCTACAGGATGTTTCATACTCCTGTAATACATTATTTTACAACTTGGGAGGGTTGGCTCATCTGGACTAACATACCAAAGTAAATGAAGAACATCTCAAAAACTATCACATCTAGTGCGTCAAGTATGACCACTGACAGATAACAGGACAATGTAAGCCTCACTGTTTCTGCACCACAGTCCATTATAAACCACATAATACATGAAGTTTACAAATGCATTGTCTGGTGAGGATCAAGGCTCCTCTCATTAGATAAGCAATCTGCAAATCTTACCAAAATATCTTTTTTAATTTTTTTAAAATACAACAGAAACACAAAGTAGGACAGCCATAATTTCAGCTTGTGGTAAAACGGTGCAACGTTTTTAAAGGGCATTTAGCACGTGAATGTACAAATTACACATTTGTGTGCACAGTGGCAAATCAATATCCAAAAATAATTCAGAAAGTAGTCATTATTGGTCACTTGATGGGCACAGGGTCTTGTTACATATCACCATTAGCAGTAAAAAGAAATACATGTTTTCCACCAGAGCAGTAAAATGTAAAGGTTTAGCTGGCTGATCTGAACTTCCAGCTGTAAGCTACCGTTTTAATTGCAAAGCCAAATCAGAGCGCTGGAGAGAGGGTAACTACATGAAATTAATCCAAGTAAAAGTTTAGTTGGATGATGCTTCCATGTTCTAAACTAATGTTACGGTTTTACTGCCAATTAACGTTACTGATCAGCTGATTGTCTCACTAACATAACCAGCAAAGCCAACCCATAGGCTGGAGAATAAGTAGGTGACATGAAATTAATGCAACTACATTTTGACAGGGGAAACACCTCACCCCTCTCAGTGATTATAGCCAGCTTCTAGCTAAAGCTATCAAACAACAGCTTTCATTTGCATCGCTAAAGTCTGACAAACTTAAATTAATTACCTGACCAGCAAAAAACATTCAACTTCAGCACCGCTTTGAAAACATCTGTCCCACATTATAGCCTTCAATCTGGGAAAATCCACAGCATGCGTGATTTCTGCCGTCAGCTATCTGTATCTGTCCCAGTCTGGCTTCATGGTATAAAGATCCACAGGCTGTCAGCTCTCCTGCTAAATAACACGTGTGTGCTCGTTCATTTGTCCAAATGTCACTTCTCTTCTTACTTCTAATAAACCAGAAGACTACTCAGAGAATATTATTATTGTTGTTGTTGTTGTTGTTGTTGTCATTATTATTTCCTCTTCTTCTTCTATGGGCGCATTTAATGTAGTGACAGGCGTCGACACTGCCGAAATTAAACAAGGAGAAGAAGAACGCAGTGATGACGAAATGCGCTCTGTAGCACTGTTTGTCCATTGTCGGCTATTGTAGAAACATGACGACAAAATACGGTGACCTCCATAGAAGGGTAATAAAAACATAATGGTCTTTATACAACACTGAAAGCATAGTTATATTAATACATATAGTAATATACATATATTAATATTATATTGTATTTCTGTCTGTAGATCCTCAGAAATATTACACAATGAACCTTTAATGTATTCAGATGTAAGTTTACAATATTAACAGATTATCCACAAGCAGTTCTTCAGAGCCCCCAGGAGGAAGTGAAAAACTAAAAGTGTCACTCCTCAATGTGTCTAGCTTGTCTGTTGGGGTTTC